TGGACAGGTTCGTTTCCTCTTTGGAAAGTGCGAGGAGTAAAGCGAATATGTCTCTGCGGGAGTTTAGCGAGCTCGTTTATGGAATCTAAAGTCACCTATCCACTGGTCGAACAAGCAATTCGCGACCGTTTCTTGTAATATGGATAGATACGACTACAGCTACGAACACGCAAACGTTTAAAGTTGTTTGAACTTATCTCACGTGTAATTCAATCGTTTTCAAATAACTAAGTGTTTGCGACTGGTATAACAATTTTTTAAATTTGAGTTCATTTGAATTACCTGTCCGTATATTTCTGTGAATAATTTCCCTGTTCGTTGTTTAACGTGTAAATATATGTGTTTACCTAGCGTACTTGACTGCATAAATACGTATAAAATGGTATATTTCGGCGAATAGTTTATCTAATGCCGAATACTTTCTTCGTATTTTGCAATTATCGAAGTAGGAAACTGGTTTTATTTTTATTCCTACGCATACCACAATAATAATACTAATAATAATAATAATAAGACGTACGCTGCAGGATTCGGCTTTATCTACGTGTCATTAAAATTTATTTTTTGAGGATTTTAAAATTTATTTTCTTGCCGTGAGGATCGACGATACAATACACACAAAGATCCTTTAATATCTGACTTCTTGGGTGCATTTTCTATATTAAAAGTACATGCATATATACAGGGTGGTTGGTAACTGGTGGTACAAGTGGAAAAGGGGTCATTCTACGCGAAAAAAGAAGTCGAAAATATAGAATAAAAAAAATTTTTTTTTATTTTTTTTAAAATCTACAGAGAGATCCGTTATAACGAGACGTGATAAAGTGCACGCATAGCGAAAAGTCAAAATCGATTTTCTCGAAAACAAAGCCTCAAACGAAAAATTTTTATTCTATATTTTCGACTTCTTTTTTCGCTTAGAATGACCCCTTTTCCACTTGTACCACCAGTTACCAACCACCCTGTATATATGCATGTACTTTTAATATAGAAAATGCACCCAAGAAGTCAGATATTAAAGGATCTTTTTTTCTCTTTAAATTGATAGATGTTTTTCAATAATAAGTGACAAAATTAATTATACACTGTGAATGTTAATTTATCAAACTAACTTTGTTCGTCGTTACATGCAAATTTGACCAGATGTTGGCGAATGATTTTAAACATTCTAGACAGTCAGCGGTTACGCTGTTTATGTGTATCGGCGCGCGCCGTAACACGATGCTGTTTATTGTAGTAACTGTACTGATAATCTCGTCGATTTTGCACCGTGTAAGAAACCTGGCGAGCGGCGTGGAAACGCACCGCGATAATTAGCCGGTTTGTCTCGAACGTTTTTCCTCGACGAGGCTAAACGCACCGTTAGCAGGTCTGACTTTTATGTTCTGTGGAGGAAAACGTTGGTTAGAGCCTGTCCGGAGATTTAGCAAAGAAACAAGATGAAAGGGGGGAAAAAGATTCCAGTGTACGGCGTTTTACCAGCGTCTTTCAGTTGTCTAGGCGCGCGCTTTGAAGTTGAAAACTGCTCTTGGTTATGCTGCGATCGCGTATTAACCGGTTGATCTTTGCGATTATGCGGAAATAAAGGCTTGTGTTAATTTGAAGAACAGAGAAGAGCTTTAGAGAATGGAAGATACGCCGTGTTTCTGACGAGAGTCTCCTTCGAGATACAATATAGGAAGCAAGTTACATGGAAATGTAAAAAAATTATTATCACTGTCTGTAGAAGTAGTGACGAAGAGTTATCGTTCATTTATTCATTATAAGGGAATGATCGATGTTCGAAAATTGTAAGTTTCAATGTTCTAGAAAATTGGAATGTTTAAATATTTGAAATTTTAAACATTCGAAAATTCGAAAGTTAAAAAGATTGACAACTCGGAAATTCGAGAGCTTGAAAATTTAAAGGGCAAAATGTCATACTTGAAAACGTTCGGCAATAGTCGGAGAGAAGCCTGTGCTTTATCATCGTTTCCAAAAAATTCGTACACCAATCGATACGAATGAAGTAAATAGTCGGCAACACGAGAGCCTACTTCATTTGTTTATATTCGAAACAGAACGCATTTCACTGCTTTTTCACCAATCGATGTATCGATATCGTATTTCCGGAGCTTTGCCGTAGCCGAATATATCGATCAGTCGGATCGTCGCTGCTGGATACGTTGCGTGCCAGGGAGGAACTACAGATTGAAGAGTGCGAGCGCCGATCGAGAGCTTGGTCGTGGAACGTTCGAAGATAGGCAAAATCGCGACGCCTGTTATCGGATCCGACGTTTTGCATTGTTATCAAACTGGACTACTGGAACTGTCACGGTCGAAATATTCGCCGGCCCGGCTAGAATTCGAGTGAAAATGTTTGTGCAATGGTATGACACTTCACTGAAATTTGCCGACTCTGTAAGAGCGTAATTGTGATATACAAGTCCGATCAATTAATCTCGAAATGAAAAGTCGTAGATTGAATGGGAAAAAAGCAAAATTTAGTTACAAAAGTTTAGATCTTGATTTGTATTGCTTTTATAGATATGGAAGTGAGAACTGAAAAGTTTCCTAATTTAAATCCAACCACATTATGTGTCTCGTTTGTGCATTATTGTTGTCAATTATTAAAATGAGGGAAGTTGCTAATCAAATATGAATTGAATGACATTCAATTTAAGAGAAGAATAAAGTGGGACAAGAAACAATGAAATTATTATACTTCGTTGTCTAGAACGATCAATTATGAATTAACAGGAACAGAGATATCTTTAGTGCTTCTATTCTATTTCAAGTGATTCTACTGCAACTCAGTGAAACTTTAAAGGCATTCAAAGATAGATATGAAAGTTTTGTTATTAAAATATACGTGTGGTTCTACCAATTCAATTGTTCCTTTATAAATCAGAAAAACAATTAAATGCATTAAACGACGTTAAAAGATATTTATAATCTTAAAATGGCGCGTATGTATCTTGTCTATCTAAAAGCAAACGTACGAGCTCTATAAAAGTGAAAAGCAAATAGCAAAAAAAGAAAAAAAAATAATACGCGAATTAAGTTGACGATAGATCGTTTGTGCGTAATTGAACGCACTGGCATCGGTTGTGCATCAGATTTACTTTTCATCGCGCTTAATAGCCACGGATATCGCTCGAAATTGAGCGTTATTTTCCACGCTTTTAACAATCCTCGTTTCTGGATACGCGTTTCCAATTGATGTCAATTATCGTTCGACTATTGAATTCTGGCTTCGGTTACGCATGCTTCCAAAAAATTATCGCATGGCAAAATCAAAGTTCGATAAATTCATTAAGCGAAACGACAAATCGATAGTCGTGACAAGTCTGCCACGAACGCATTATATCGTGCTCTCGCCGAGCATTAATCGAACTCACGTATCGAACTCGTATTAATCCTAGAACTAAATTTACAATTAGAATTTCCAATGAATCGTTTACGTTGTCTGCCATCGTTTGCATTCCCGTGAAACTACTTGTCTGCTACACCCTCGGGCGGATCGACTCTGTCACATTTGTAAGGAAGCCAATCGTACCACGTATTTAGTTAACAGAACCTCTTGTACCTTGTCAGATTGGTGGTTAAACCGCGATCTTTACTTTTTGTGTCCGGTGAAACCTCGGAAGGATTCAGTTTATCTTCACAGAGATTGCTTTGAAAAATATTTTGAAATTTATTATTATTACTCCTTTAATCTAATCTACAGTACAATTAAAGTGGACGATAATAGTCATTAATTTGTCATGAGATACCTGTACTTACACGTAAAAGTTCCATTTGGCTACATTGCAAGATTCGTTGTTCCGTAACGCGTGCATCGATCGAGCCGCTCGAACCCCATCACAAACGATATAAACTTTTACCCTTCGCTGTCAATAGCCCTTTCCTTAACCCCTTCGGGTAAACCATCTACTCATCATGCTCGATCGAGCGGAAGCCAATAGCTGTCGTCAAGGATAACCCGGATTTAGCGCAGCGACTGCCACTTCATCCGAGCTTTTCTCTCGAATCGATCCTCTGGTTTGGTTCGGCTAAAGGCAAACGACGTAAAGGACGTCCCCGATTCTAACCACCATATTATTTTCTGTTCACAGGTTCGGCCAGTTCAACAAGGACGGAAAGCTCAGACCACGGAGCCACGGTTCCCTCGTCCAGCCAGGGAAACGACGGATCTCACTGGCAAAAACCGCTGACGATGAGCTAGCGACACGACGATGAGGAGGATGAAGCAGCGCGTGCTGCTCGCCTGGCCATGGTTGTGGCTGTGGCTGT